GTAGCTGGCCCCAGACAGTAGAATGCTTTTCTTTTCTTTTTTTTTTACTTTTTTCCCCAAACACATGTAATATTGCTCACTTTTAGTTGGGTAATTTTGGGTAATACAATATTTTTGCTATTATTCATTTGTCTCAATGTTATTCATATTTTTATATAAAATGAGAACACTATGTAAAATTCACTTTAAAGTACATCTGCATTTTTTCATTTTTACTTATAGAGATAATTAATGGAAAAAATACCATGCTTAAGTGGAATATTTCTGCCACCTGGTAGAAAAACAAATACTATTAAAGGGGTCATATGATGCGAATTCTATTTTTCCTTTTCTTTAGTGTGTTATGTAGCTATTTGTGCATGTATAAGATCTGCAGAGTTACAAAGCTCAAAGTCTCCCACAAAAGGATTTATTCTTTCTAAAAGAGAAGGCTGATCCAGACCGGGCTAAAACGTCTCATTCAAACACGCCCCCACATCTCTACATCACAATGTGGAAATATTTGAGTAATGCCGCCCAAATGTTCACGCAAAGAAAGAAGGCGTGGTCTCAGGAACCGCAGTAGTGTTACAAGCATCATCACTGTGTCTGTCAAGCGACTCTGTTCCCCTTTCGGGCTTGAACTGATGGTACAACGAAGGACATTATTTACTGTCTTTACATTTATGTTGAAAGCTGAAGCTTGGGATTATGGAAAGGGGCGCTATTTTTCCGACGCGTGCTTGTGGTCGTCAATCACAATGCACTGGGTCAGCTGGCCAATCAGAGCAGACTGTGCTTGTCGGAAGGAGGGGCTTTGTAGAAAACTACGCATTTGAGAGAGGCGGGGCATAGAGGAACTACAATAATGTACATTATTTGAAAAATAATGTGTTTTTTGAACATTAAAGCATGTAATACACAAAATAATAATCTATATAATAGCATTATATGACCCCTTTAAAATGAATGTCATAATATTCTCACTATGACCACTAGATGGCAGCAGAGGATCATTCATTGTCTCATTGACCATTTCCACTCAGTAATATAGTTATTTTCACATATTTTGCTTTTGCATTTATATTTATTATGAAATCACCATTATAGCATTTAAAAATAACTTTTTGTCAAAGTTTAGCATTGTTTTGTACTGAAGAAGAATGAAGTAGCAAGAGTTTTCAAAAAACTCAAAAACTCACTGTGAATCACACGAATGGCCTATTTTGAATTCAAAATGGCAATTTTCGGCAGAAGGTGACTAGTTTGTATCTTTGTATCCTATCTTCTCAATTTCTCTTAAATGTAAATCAAATGCCCATTCACAAACATATTGTGACTTTTTTATTTTTTGAGCAAGAGATGCTCAGAAATGAACTTAACATTAATCACTTTGCCCTTTTAGGCAACAACGTTAAATGTTGAATGACTTCATAACTTCATAACTTACAATGATAAAAATAATAATAATAGGGTAGGAAAACGCCCCCCCCCCCCCCCCCCCCCCCGACATACCATAGGGGGGAAAAAGTGAAAAATGGGGGGGAAAAGAAGAAAAGTTGGTTGTAACATCCCCTTTAACTCTTGGTAGCTGGCCCCAGACAGTAGAATGCTTTTCTTTTCTTTTTTTTTTACTTTTTTCCCCAAACACATGTAATATTGCTCACTTTTAGTTGGGTAATTTTGGGTAATACAATATTTTTGCTATTATTCATTTGTCTCAATGTTATTCATATTTTTATATAAAATGAGAACACTATGTAAAATTCACTTTAAAGTACATCTGCATTTTTTCATTTTTACTTATAGAGATAATTAATGGAAAAAATACCATGCTTAAGTGGAATATTTCTGCCACCTGGTAGAAAAACAAATACTATTAAAGGGGTCATATGATGCGAATTCTATTTTTCCTTTTCTTTAGTGTGTTATGTAGCTATTTGTGCATGTATAAGATCTGCAGAGTTACAAAGCTCAAAGTCTCCCACAAAAGGATTTATTCTTTCTAAAAGAGAAGGCTGATCCAGACCGGGCTAAAACGTCTCATTCAAACACGCCCCCACATCTCTACATCACAATGTGGAAATATTTGAGTAATGCCGCCCAAATGTTCACGCAAAGAAAGAAGGCGTGGTCTCAGGAACCGCAGTAGTGTTACAAGCATCATCACTGTGTCTGTCAAGCGACTCTGTTCCCCTTTCGGGCTTGAACTGATGGTACAACGAAGGACATTATTTACTGTCTTTACATTTATGTTGAAAGCTGAAGCTTGGGATTATGGAAAGGGGCGCTATTTTTCCGACGCGTGCTTGTGGTCGTCAATCACAATGCACTGGGTCAGCTGGCCAATCAGAGCAGACTGTGCTTGTCGGAAGGAGGGGCTTTGTAGAAAACTACGCATTTGAGAGAGGCGGGGCATAGAGGAACTACAATAATGTACATTATTTGAAAAATAATGTGTTTTTTGAACATTAAAGCATGTAATACACAAAATAATAATCTATATAATAGCATTATATGACCCCTTTAAAATGAATGTCATAATATTCTCACTATGACCACTAGATGGCAGCAGAGGATCATTCATTGTCTCATTGACCATTTCCACTCAGTAATATAGTTATTTTCACATATTTTGCTTTTGCATTTATATTTATTATGAAATCACCATTATAGCATTTAAAAATAACTTTTTGTCAAAGTTTAGCATTGTTTTGTACTGAAGAAGAATGAAGTAGCAAGAGTTTTCAAAAAACTCACTGGATCTACGTGAATCACACGAATGGCCTATTTTGAATTCAAAATGGCAATTTTCGGCAGAAGGTGACTAGTTTGTATCCTTGTTAACAATCTTCTCAATTTCTCTTAAATGTAAATCAAATGCCCATTCACAAACATATTGTGACTTTTTTATTTTTTGAGCAAGAGATGCTCAGAAATGAACTTAACATTAATCACTTTGCCCTTTTAGGCAACAACGTTAAATGTTGAATGACTTCATAACTTCATAACTTACAATGATAAAAATAATAATAATAGGGTAGGAAAACGCCCCCCCCCCCCCCCCCCCCCCCCCTTTAAGGAATATGTCTTTTTTTTCTCTCGGTGAAACAAAAGATAAATGTGTCCAAAATGATTATCATAGTTTTAGTGACAATGACATAAATTAAAAACCAAGTATGAAAAATGTCCACAGGTGGGGTAAAATGCCCCCTAGTCTAACAAAGCAATTAGCTTTATACATTTAGAGCAAAATCAGAGTAAAGGCAGTTTTAGCTTAAAATGAAAAAGAATAAAATAAATAATTATGAATTACAAAATTATAATAACCTATTTGAAAAATATTGTTAGCTGATGCTAACTGGTCAGCTAACTAGCTACACTATATGGACAAAAGTATTGGGACACCCCCTTCTAATGAACAGGTTTGATGACTTTAGTCATTTCCATGAGTACAAATCTTAATGTTTAAGCATATAATGATATTAGGGAATTGTGTGCTTCTAATTTTATAGCAACAGTTTGAACAGGACCCTTTTCTATTTTAACATGATAATGCCTCTGTGTATAAGGCAAGGTTTAAAAAAAAAGATTGATTCAGTCAGTGTGGTAGAATTTGACTGGTCTGCAGAAAGCAAAGTCCTGAACACCTCTGGTGTGACTTTAAATGCAGACCTTGAGGCAAAAACTCATCACCAAACACCAATGACTTGTGCATACACTATATGGACAAAATTATAAGTACACCACCTTCTTTAGAACAGAAAAAGGCACTTCCAAAACTGTGGCAACAAAGATGGAAACATAATTCATGTATTTAAAAATTGTTTTTCCCTCTCTTTTGCAACAGTTTTGGAAGTGTCTAAAATGACTGTACCCATATATACAAGTCATTGGTATTGTTTGGTGATGAGTTTTTGACTGATGATGATTACCCCTCTCATTGAAATCGCTGTCTGATTGCCTAATCCTAACCCCTCCCCCACACCTATCCTTAAATTTACCAGTACTAGGGGGTAATAATCTGGTGGGGGTCAGAATTTGGGACAACGCTGGTTTTTGTAAAAGCCATCATTAAACAGTTAGATGGAATTGTCCAATATGCAATAATTTACACAAACTTTACCCTTTGTGTTATCTTATGAGTGTGGCTGATTGATTAAAGGTGTATTTGTTTAAAATAAACAAAAATCATAACTTAACTCAAAACCATAATTGTGTGCTGATCTTAATCATTTTATATCCTATGTTCAAATATGCAAATATGCGCTGACCAGTTGACATTTGGAAATATACCAACCAGTAATAGCATACTTCCATTTAAAATGTCAACACAAAGACACAAAGACAAATGTCATATTTATTTTGTAAGGTTCATAAAATACATTTGGATTTTTAAAAGACAATGGAAATGTGAAACTACATACAGAACACACATTTACAACTAAGAAATTAGACTATAAAACAGTAAACCTCTTACTCCTTTGAGTGGGTACATTTCAAAAAACAAAATCATACCCAGTCAATTTATGGTCACAAAATTTTACAATCACTCTGTTTGTTCCTGTTTTTCACCAGCCAAAAGTCCTGTCCTGCAATCACCGTATCCCACAGCCAGCACATGGTTCACCTTTTATGTACAGGTCAGGTCATTGTAAACTCCTGTGGTGGACAGATGTGAGGCTTCATAAAACCACCACTGCAGCCCTTGTTGCTGTAACTGGAGTAACAGTCCACCAGATTCTGAAGTCAACCAGCTTTCCTGTGGTCTTCATCAGTTGACCTGCAAGAACCTCAACAGAGCTGAATGCCCAACATGAACAGCTCCCTGATAGAAGAGAGAAGCATGAGAAAACTACTAAAACAGGAACAACTTAATGGCTTGTGAAGCTGCAGAAACAGCATTTTGACCAACCAGTCTTTAGTTCTTGGTTTCTGAATTTCCAACTCATCATAGAGGAAGTTACAGGAAAGGGGAAATAAATTCCCTCAAACACTTGACTGGACAAAAATATATAAAGGAAATGAAATTAAAGAAAAAAACGATGACAGCAAGTTCTCTGACAGACACTGTGGTCAATTCACTTGACATCATGAGAGCAACATCAAAAACATCCAAAATAAAAAAGACACAAAGCTAATTGAGCGGATATCGTCCTGAACACCTCTGGTGTGACTTTAAATGCAGACCTTGAGCCAAAAACTCATCACCAAACACCAATGACTTGTGCATACACTATATGGACAAAATTATAAGTACACCACCTTCTTTAGAACAGAAAAAGGCACTTCCAAAACTGTGGCAACAAAGATGGAAACATAATTCATGTATTTAAAAATTGTTTTTCCCTCTCTTTTGCAACAGTTTTGGAAGTGTCTAAAATGACTGTACCCATATATACAAGTCATTGGTATTGTTTGGTGATGAGTTTTTGACTGATGATGATTACCCCTCTCATTGAAATCGCTGTCTGATTGCCTAATCCTAACCCCTCCCCCACACCTATCCTTAAATTTACCAGTACTAGGGGGTAATAATCTGGTGGGGGTCAGAATTTGGGACAACGCTGGTTTTTGTAAAAGCCATCATTAAACAGTTAGATGGAATTGTCCAATATGCAATAATTTACACAAACTTTACCCTTTGTGTTATCTTATGAGTGTGGCTGATTGATTAAAGGTGTATTTGTTTAAAATAAACAAAAATCATAACTTAACTCAAAACCATAATTGTGTGCTGATCTTAATCATTTTATATCCTATGTTCAAATATGCGATGTTGCACTGACCAGTTGACATTTGGAAATATACCAACCAGTAATAGCATACTTCCATTTAAAATGTCAACACAAAGACAAGATTAAAAATGTCATATTTATTTTGTAAGGTTCATAAAATACATTTGGATTTTTAAAAGACAATGGAAATGTGAAACTACATACAGAACACACATTTACAACTAAGAAATTAGACTATAAAACAGTAAACCTCTTACTCCTTTGAGTGGGTACATTTCAAAAAACAAAATCATACCCAGTCAATTTATGGTCACAAAATTTTACAATCACTCTGTTTGTTCCTGTTTTTCACCAGCCAAAAGTCCTGTCCTGCAATCACCGTATCCCACAGCCAGCACATGGTTCACCTTTTATGTACAGGTCAGGTCATTGTAAACTCCTGTGGTGGACAGATGTGAGGCTTCATAAAACCACCACTGCAGCCCTTGTTGCTGTAACTGGAGTAACAGTCCACCAGATTCTGAAGTCAACCAGCTTTCCTGTGGTCTTCATCAGTTGACCTGCAAGAACCTCAACAGAGCTGAATGCCCAACATGAACAGCTCCCTGATAGAAGAGAGAAGCATGAGAAAACTACTAAAACAGGAACAACTTAATGGCTTGTGAAGCTGCAGAAACAGCATTTTGACCAACCAGTCTTTAGTTCTTGGTTTCTGAATTTCCAACTCATCATAGAGGAAGTTACAGGAAAGGGGAAATAAATTCCCTCAAACACTTGACTGGACAAAAATATATAAAGGAAATGAAATTAAAGAAAAAAACGATGACAGCAAGTTCTCTGACAGACACTGTGGTCAATTCACTTGACATCATGAGAGCAACATCAAAAACATCCAAAATAAAAAAGACACAAAGCTAATTGAGCGGATATCAGTTAGCATAGTTTCAAACAGACCTGCATCTTCACACTTCATATCCCTCTACAATCCAGAGAGTCTGGGACAGGAGCCCCAGAAGAGCCCACAAAATTTACTGTTTGCCTCTTAATACTAATATTTCATTATTAGGCTATATTAATTAAACAATTTATTGTCAAATAGAACGATAAACGATATTAAATTAAATATAGCTGCAAGCAGCAATTAAGGGGCCAAGCACAAAAGAGGCAAAATGAGAAGCTAATTAGACCAACTAGTTAGACCAACTGTAACAATGAGTAATTAAAGCCATTTATGGTGATTTTAGTCAAAATGGCTGGAAAATCACAAATACAACCTCTAGTAATATGATTTAATGGGTTATCACTTTTGACATTATAAAATCGATGTGTTATTTTCTGTGAGGTTACAATGGTACACAAAGTTTGGTGTCAATATGTCAAAGCTTTGCAGAGATACAGCCTCAGAGTCATTTTGGCATCATGCCTCAAGCTTGTTGTTGAGTTCCATTACAATAGGCTAATGGAATCAAAAGTTATTAGCATTTTTGAAAAGTTATTATTAATTGTTTATGAATGCTTTATAACATTTGACCAATCGGTGGCGCTGTTACCAAATTGATGTGGCATGGTCAGTGTGACATACACAGTTTGGTGTCAATATGTCAAAGCTTTGCAGAGATACAGCCTCAGACGCAGTTTGGCATCATTCCAGCAAATTCTTTGATGCATTAAACGATAACTGTTTTGTATATCGACACGAAATCCATAACTTTTTGCCAGCATAGTCTGAAGATGATCTGAGTCAAGTTTGGTGAAAATTGGACCGATGGTCTAGGAGGAGTTCGAAATAAAAATAAATTTTCAACATTAAAATGGCAGACAGGAAGTTTGGCTGACAATACAATATATAGCTAAATTGGTATCTATGTTCTTGGCATGACCCAAAGAATATATTGAGACCAGTTTCATTACAATAGCCCAATATATCCAATAACTTTTGGCGACAATGTGGCGCTGCCCCCAAACTTTTTGAGCACTGTCAGGGCATGGTGCGAAAACACAGACCAATTTTCGTAACGATACGGTGACATGGGAAAATGTGGTATGGTTTGACTCGGCATGCTGCGACTCGGCATGCTGCACCGAATCTAAAGAGACCAGATTTTAGGCCAAACCATTCAGACTTTATAAGCAAAAATAGCCATTTTTCATATCTCCTGACCAAGGTGGCACTGTGCAGGTAGCCTCAGGTCATGGTTGTTATTATAACACACACCAAGTTTGGTCTCAATATGTTAAACTGTTGCGGAGATATAGCGTCACATACATTTTTGTGTGCTCTTCATCAAATTCGTTCATGCGTTATTCGAGAACAGTTTAACTAACCAACTTTATTTCCATAACTTTTTGCCAGCATGGTGTGAAGTTGATCTGAGCCAATTTTGGTAAAAAAAAATCAGACAAACCGTCTAGGACGAGTTCTAAAAAGTAGGTTTTTCGAACTATTAAAAATAGTGAAAGAACTAGACATTCCAATTTTTACATTTTGAAGTTGAACCTCTAGTGTTTAACCTCTTCAGATATATTTGAAAGAGTATCTGAAGTGATATTTCTATTTCGCCATCCCACTGAGGGGAACCTGTTTGGAGAGGCAGCAGTAACATTGAGTGACATGGCATGTGCCAGTGGTGTCCATGTTAATTCCGGTACTGGATGTAACTACCAAAGGGGCCATCCATTCAGGGAGCGTTTGTGCATTACTAAGTTTTTATAGCCAAATTTGCTGGAATAAATCAATGAACAACAAAATCACAGCCTTACCTGCAGGCAGAGAGAACCTTGTTTGTCTGAGTGTGTGTGTGCGTGAGAGAGTGATTGGAGAACATTTATCAGTATAAAGACCAAATGGGAATGACAATCAGAGCAAGAGAGGGGGTTCTTATGATTGCTTGTCCCTCCAATTAAAAAAAGGTGTTACCGTGTAAAAGGATAGAGACCAAAATAAATGTTAAATATATTTGTCTCTACAAATATGATGCAATTATGTATATAAATGACACCAATAAAAATGTGATTTTAGCAAACTTGATTGTTGAATCATAACATAGTCTGACAGAATTCATTCTCTCAAGGCATTTTTGGCATCTGGAGTTCCACTTATTAATTGGTTCAGATAAACAGACTGAAAGGGTAGCAAGTGTTTTCTGTCATTTTATGCCATTCTCTCCCTTGTGTTATCTTATGAATGTGGCTAATCAACCAAAGGTGTAAAAATCACAGCAATCTAAATGTCCATCATAACTGGACATTGTGTGCTGATCTTGAAAAATCCTTTAATACCTCATGTCAAACTGTTCATTGTGATGTTGCACTGAATAAAACCACGTCATTTGTAAACACACAAAAAAGAAAGATTTAAAATTCTATATTTATTTAAGACATATTAGGACATTTTTAAAAGACAATAGAATTGGGGGAAAACATAGAACACATTTACAGTTAAGAAATAAGATTATAAAATATTTTGATATATTCATAACTTCAACAGGATTTCAGCTACATAACCGGATAGCATGGGTATAAGGCGATGCCACACATGTCGTTCTGGTTTCTGGCCATACGGATGTAGCCACCATCTCCAAATCCAGCACCCCAACTGTTAAAGTAAAAAAATAACAATCAGCATTTGTATTTTTTCATCTTAAAGTTTTGTTTGAGACAGATGTTCTGATTTTACATGTCTTTGAGTAGGTACAATTCCCAAAACAATATCGGACCCAGTCAGTTTATGATCACACAATTTCAAAAGTCAGCCTGTACCTGTTTTTGACCAGCCAAAAGTCCTGTCCAGCAATCACACCGTATCCCACAGCCAAAACTCCATGGTTTATCTTTTTGGTGCAGGATGGATCATTGTAAACTCCTGTGCACAGATGTAAGATAATGTTATAATAGTTGTCAATGAAAAATAAATCATTTCAACCCTAAATTTGTAACCTGAATACCTTGATATGGTAATCAGTCTGAAATGTGCAGGGAAGAAATACTCACCACTGCGATAAAAGACAAACTTAGGGCGGGTTGCATCAATGGCCACTGAAATGGGCCCGATGTTGGCAACAGCTTGCTTCAGGGCCTCCTCATCTCCTTCACTGACGTAATAGTACTTGGTGCAGTTTGCTGCACGCTGGGATGGATCATATCTGCACGGCCCTTGCTGTAGAACACATTTATTTATTATTATATTCATAATGATAATGGATTGCAGCTTTTTAAAAATGTACCAAACACTGATAAATCCATCAATGTAGAGACCTGACTGCATATGTATTACTCTCACAATAACAGGTCCTGTC